CCAACCTAATTAAAAGGTAAAATATTTAAAGTATAATTTAAGATTCAAATATAAAGTATCACTTTTCCTGTCTTTGTGGTTACAATTCAATTATTTCAACACTAAGTTGGACATTAGGGTTAACATATGATTCTTTTCCCCTAGAACGTATTTTGTAACACCAAAAGTTCTAACTGTACATTCAAGACTTGAATACTTTCCCACATCTATCTCATTAATCAAATGAGATTATACATTTCAAAGTACTTTGCATTTGGTCAATTAGAGATTTTGGCAGTTATTCTTACATTTTTTTTTGGAAATAGGAACTTAATAGTAACTTCTGCAGTTTGCTCCATCTTTGATAAGTTTGATTATTGAAGAAATGACTTAAAGCAGAGAATATTGCACAGGTCAGCTAGAAATAGAGTTTACATGGTCATAACAAAATAAATACTGAATGATGATTTAACCAAACCTATGACAACCACAATTGAGTAGATGGGGAGACAGAAAATAGCGGATCATGCAGTCAGGGTGAAAAAGAGGATAAAAGAGAGCTAAATATTCATCTTTTACAAGACCAAAAACCAAGTTTATTGGAAACAGGAATATCAATGCCAAAAGAAACAGGGAGCAGTTAAAAGTAATTGCCTCTAAGGAATAATAAATTGAAGGGGGGAAGATACCAAAGGGGCTATTGAAACCCTATTGAAAGATCTGACTCTTTAAACACTGTACCTTTTCACTTTGATTTTTAAAGAAATTACTTATGTATAATGAAATCTTTTACAGCTTCTACTCTTATCAGTCCAATCTACCCCATGGGGCCACAGAAGAGTGTTCATTTCATATGAATAAAATGCATTTTCACAGGGACATGGTCTCCTCATAAAAAGATCTTGAAAAGGTAAGTGTGGATGGTGAGTGGTGGGGAAAGAAAACACCCACTTCTAGTGAAGTCTGAGGCCACCATGTGATTTAAGTGAAAGTGGTACGTCTCTTTTAAGCAATAGTTTTAACAGCTACTGTGTAATATACCAAGCTTTATTTTCCTCTGTAACAGGCACTAAAAATGCTCAAATAGTGACTGTTTATCAATGTAGGTCCCAGAATGAACGCAACAAAGAGAACCTGTAGCTGATATGCAATGAGCATGTGACATAGAAGAAATAAACCTTGTTGTCTTAAGCCACTGAGATTTAGGGAGTTATAATTGCAGAACAATTTAATTTATCTTCACTGGTATACAAACTAGAAGTGAGATGCTGCCTTAACAAGAACTCTAAAATACTACATCAGGGATTAAGCAGTAAGGGCCTAATCAAGAAAACATTTTTGAGAAAACTTATCAGAGACACGAGCTGAGCAAATGATCCACATTAAGGAGTGACAAAACATCTGATGAAACTGTCACTACAATAATTTGAAAGTGGCAAGTACCTAATGAATTTATGAGCATGTACCTAGGTAGCTAATGGACTTATTTATAGCCCTAAGAGAAAAGGCTAGAAAAGGGAAGATGAATACTGTGATAGCTACTGTTGTTTGAGTGTAATAAGAAAGGTACTCAAAGAAGAACCCTATCCAAGAGACTTGCTGTTCCAAATGTTAGTCCCCACTCTTGTATGGTCAGGAAGCAAGCTAAAAAACCTGCTCTGACATAGAAAGAGTTTATAGTCTCCAAAGCCAACTTCAAATGTGATCAAGGATAAAAAAATGAAAGGGACCTCTTGCAGGGCAAAGCCAAGGACCATGGAGAACTATGCTCTAAAGCATGTGCCAGAATATGAACTATCTGCTACTGGTCTATGATAATAAGGTAAACACAGAAATTTAGTGTAAATGTTTAGAAGCTTTTATAGCAATTTCACACATTTGCAAATAAAATGCTTAAGGGCAACAAAAGTTTTTACTTGGCACCAGAATACTAAAAGAGCTCCCAGAGGGAAATGAGGAAGAAGTGTTTCAAGGGGAAAACACAGACATTCTTGCTCATGAGAGAAGGAGACAAGGATTTTCCTTCATGTATTCTCTAGACAGATGGAGCAGCCGGTGGCCCTCTTCAGCTAGAGCAATCCCATTTTGGGATTGGGTCCAGCATATAATACGTGGTAAACAGTTCAGCTTTAAATGTTTGAAAAAACATTGTACTAAAGTAATCTGCTCTCCTAGAACAATAATATCCAATCATTTTGCATTTGGACACATTTCTAATTTTAAAATCTAGCAACAAGCTTTTCTAGAATACCCTTGATTCAGTTCCCCTTTATAGGCTTAAATTTGCCTTATGATTAACTATAAAACTAGTGGTTTTCTCTCTTAAGAAAAAGAGGAAATTAACAACTGTAAACATAAAATAAATTATACCAAATCTGTAGGCATCATTCCCTGCGGAAAGACATGTTTCAGCTTTGCAACAAATGGGGCACTTAATGCTTACAAAGTTTCTGTAAGAGTATTGTCAAAAACTAGCTTACTAATAGTTTAATGCTGCTACTGTGGAACAAAACCTGCTCACTGAACTAGCCTCAGATAAAACGATTATATCTCATTACAGCTTATCATTTAAGACCCAAAGGTGGCAATAAAAGGAGTCAACAGTGTCAGCATCTATTTTATAGCCCCTTCAAGACAGTTAGGGCAAAATCCTTTCTCTCCACCCACACCCCCCAACAAACACCCCCAAAAAGGAGGAAACAGAAGGGTATCAAGACTTGCAATGACAATGGAATAAAAAGTCTTAAAAGCAAAAACCTAAAACTAGTATGAGTAATATCTAGGTGTTAGCTATCACTTTAGTAGAGAATATAGGCAAAAAAGAAAAAAGTCTTCATGGAGAAAATCTATTCATGACCTAAAATTTGCACCTTGTTGATTATGGAAGATAAAAAACAGTGAACATGCCAGAGAACAGGATAGTTTACTGATTTTGCCAAGTGCCTCAAATCACATAACTCTGAGTTCATGCTTAATTTGTGTGCTTAAGCACATAATGGCAATTAGTTAATTCACTGTTGCCATGAGCACTGTCCCCTTTCAAGTAAACTGTGTACAGCCCTAACCACATGTTCTAGGAATCCATTAGGTGAATTTCTTACACTCGAATGAACATGAGATCCTGCTCTAAAGCATTGTTGGATTAGGTCTGTTAACTTCTTTAGAGCAAATTGTACCCTACATAGGCTGCACTGCATAACTGCTCAGGTGACGTTTCATCTGATACCCACCTAACAGTGCTAGGCCTAAACATCCATCACAGTTTGTTCACGCACCTGTAAAAGAACCCAGGACTCACTAGCACCTGGTGCCTACATGGACTACTGTTCCAGAATCTGGAGCAAAACAGACTTTAAAGTTCCCTATGGATCACTAGCTAGGAAAAAAGGTACAAACACTCTTCTTGGGCAAAGCATTGGAGCGAAGGATGGTGAGTTAAGAAAGGCTGAGTCTTGGCTGTGCCAGTAAATGCGCCAATGTCTTTCAGAGACAATGAACTTGTGGTGTGTGGCTCATTCTAAGAAAAACACGAATTATTTTCTCATCATTTTGCACTATTCTGTTTATTTTATTACCAAACACCAAAAAAAAAGTCAACAAATGTTATATTAGTCCAATACACGGTGGGAAATTTATTTTCTACTCATTTATAGCAGGTACAAAGCCTTTATTTTGTGTCTATGAGCCCCAGGAACCTCTAGCGCCACCATTTACCACAGACAGGAGGAAGGTTTGAAGAATACATGTGGGATTTTAGGGACACAGACTATTCTACTTCTTCCTCTGTAGACCTTCATCAATAACAGAATTCTAGTTCTGCCTTTCTTCTAAACTTATGCCGAGAGCATCTTTACGAATTCTTAGTTTCAAAGGGTCACACACCCCCTATTCATATAGCTTGGATCTCCATCTCCTTCTAATACCACCCCTCTTCAAAGGACAATTCCCAAGGAAGGGAAGAGTCTTCCTTAGAACTTCGGTTCACCCTTCACCTCATTCCATTCCCTCTCCCCTCCAAGGGCTCAGGATTTTCTCGCCGCTCACGCCGGGAAAGAAGTAAGCAAAATGCCCCTCAGAAGAATCCAAGTGAGGCCCCTTCTAAATCAATGTCCAGAGCTCAGCGGTGCGGCCCTCGCTGGGGGAGAGCGGCTCGGTCTCAATCCCCAACCCTGCAGGCAGAGACCACAGCCCCTAGCCTGGAGGATCCGCACTGCCACCCACCTGCTTCAGCGCGTCCGACAGGTCCCGCCACGTGAAGGAGAGACTCAGGGTGGTCCTCGCTCCACACAACCCACTCGCCCAGCAGCCTCGAACCCCTAAGCCCACCCGCGAAAAAGAACTGCCTCCGGCTGCCACCGCTCTGCAGAAACCGCCTGCTCCGGTGGGGGGGGGGGGGGCAGAAATCCCCAAGGCTCCTCCCTCTCCTCGTGGTACTTACGTGCGACCTCTCCAACCAATTGATAGCGCAGTGGGCGGAGCGAAATCCGCCACAAGTGACAAGCGACGAGCCAGTCCTCCCACCGGTGCGAAAGAGCCGTGCGGTAGCTGGGCCAATCAGCAGCGTGGGTGGGGAATTCAGGGGAGGGAAAAAGCAGAGAAAGGGGACGCCCAATCAGATCTTGGAGCCCTGGAGCGACGGGTCTGGTGGCCCGTGGGCTACCGAGTGCGGCGCGCAGGGGCGTGCCCGCCTGGCCCAATCCGTGCGAGCCCACCGTGCGGAGCGAGCGCCTCAAATGCTCGGGTTTCTCAGCTGATTGTCTCCAGCCGAGAGTTGTTTTTTGCAGCTACCGAGCGGAGCCGCAGCAGGAGGAGCCGAGACCCCCCGGGGGGCGGGGAGAGGAGGAGGGATCTGGGGAGCCGAGGCTGCTCTGCGCGGGGCTCTGGGTCCTGTCACGGCGCTTCCTGGGGTTGAAGGTTGGGGTGGGTGGGGGGTAAGGCACAAATCCTTCTCCTCCTCGACGGCGGCTCCGAGCCCTGCCCCTTCCTTCCCGCGCTCCCTCGCCCGCCCCCCAGGCCCCGTAATGGGGGTGTCCGTGCCGGGTCCCGTGGCCGCCGCCGCCCCCGCGGCCGGCCGTGAGCCCTCGACGCCGGGCGAGGGCGGCGAAGGCGCCGTCGCTGCAGCCTCAGGCGCGGTGGTGCCGGGCTCCGTGCAGTTGGCACTGAGCGTCCTGCACGCCCTGCTTTACGCCGCGCTCTTCGCCTTTGCCTACCTGCAGCTGTGGAGGCTGCTTTTGTACCGCGAGCGGCGGCTGAGTTACCAGAGCCTCTGCCTCTTCCTCTGTCTCCTGTGGGCAGCGCTCAGGACCACCCTCTTCTCCGCCGCCTTCTCGCTCAGCGGCTCCCTACCCCTGCTCCGGCCGCCCGCTCACCTGCACTTCTTCCCCCACTGGCTGCTCTACTGCTTCCCTTCCTGTCTCCAGTTCTCCACGCTCTGTCTCCTCAACCTCTACCTGGCGGAGGTAAGGCGGCAGGACCGGCTTGCGGGGCCAGGAGGGCGAGTGGGGCCGCTGCGACCAACTCCCGCTGAAGATGGGTGGGGGTGGGGGGGCGGTGATGGGCGGACCTGAGACCAGCCTGGGGAAACTGAGGCATACCTGGAGGGCGCGCCAGGGTGATCGTCCTAAACTTGACAAGCCGATTGACTCGGTTACTGAGGGACTTGAGGGGTGAGTGAGTGAGAGTGTGTGTTCTGACAACTTAAAACAGCAAGACGACCCTTTGTTCGGCATTCTAACCCTCTAAGGTAAGGTGTTGCTGGCATCGCAAGAAGTGTGAGCCCTGGTAGCTCTGCCGAAGCTGGACTGTGTTGAGAGAGGTTGGATGCTGAGGTAGCAGCAGCTCTGCTGAAGCTGGACTGCTGCCAGCCATTACGTCACCAGGCAGAGCTGTTCCTCTGCTATTGTTGCTGCGTTTCTTTTATTAGAAGCTTATATTCCCTCCTGCATCCCCTTTCCTGTGGCTCGATAAGCCTCACACAGATTCCGTTCAATAGTTCTCCAGCAGAGTTAATAATCAATAACCAATACTGAGGGTCAATAGAAAGACCTCCATAAAGCCCTTAATGTTTGCCTCAGTTGCTTCGTGCTTTGGCTGTTTTTCCTACCTCTTACATCCTAGTGTGTCTGTCTGTCTCTCTCTCTCGAGCTAATTAAGGGAAAAATATTAGCTTAACCTGTGCCTATTGCAGAAACAAACCACCAAACTGTTTTTGCAACAACTTGCTTAATAGCTGGAAGCTAATCACACCCCCCTTTCTCTTTTATGAGGAATTACTGGTTGGATTGCATTGTTCTGTGGAGCTTAGATATTTGACCCATTTCAAACAGGTTTGGGAGTGTAAGGTTTACAATCAAGTGTATCAGCTAGTGGTATATAAGCCACAGAATTCTGAGAATTGTCCAAAAAGTATCCCCCCCAATCCTGCAACAAAAAAAAAAAAATCTCTTGAGAGGAGGAAACAAGGTGACATCATATACTTAATACTAATATAGAACAATATTGGTCTCTGCAGCTAATCCTCTCAGGCTTTTGGAGGTGATGAGAATTAACATAGCTATCAGGAAAAGTAAAAACATTTGGTGCGGAATCGGTGTTTATATTTCCTGCATACATAACCAACTGCTTTCTTGCTTAGTAGAAAGGAGGTAGAATGCACAATTTTTAAATCCAGTCATAACTTCAGCTTTTTAGCATGCTAAAAACAACAGTTTAAAATGAGTAACAAAACTTTAATTCTTGTCCTTTCCCATCCCTTTGGAAGTCCAAGCAATTCAATGACGAAAAAACAAACAAGCATAAATAAAAAGCATAGGTAATCGTAAATCAAATTATCATGCCACAGTCATGTCACTTATTTGACGATGTTCTGATCTTCTAGTTGTTTAAAGTTTAATTGCACTTCTCTCCCTTATAGTTAAACTGATACATATATTCTTCCTGACATTTCTAATATAATACCAATGACCTCCTTTCACAGAAGCCTTACTCTAGCTTCAGATATAGTTAATTTACCTGAACATGACTAGCAATCCTTTCCCATAAGCAACAAATAAGTTACCCTATATATTTGTTCTTACAAAAATTATATTAATGATCCACTGTAAAATAGTTGGTGGGCATTTCATATGTAGCTAAACACTCTACTCTTCAGATAGATATATATAGATATATATATATCTAACAGAGTGCACAAATATGTACAGCTAGGTGAGATTTTACATATGGATACATTCATGTTACTACCACCAGTTTAAGATACACAGTATTTCCAGTGCCACAAATGGTTCCCTTGTGCTCTCTGCCAGTCCTATCTTTCACCCTGAGTTAAACGCACAGTGGCTAAACACTGTCACAATAGGGGAAAAAAAGCCTCTATAATTAAGCTCAAAATTTAAACAGTATGCTTCTCCAGCACAAACTACACAATAACTAGATTGAGTTTTCAGATTTATTTTCAGTTGATGGTATTCCTATCTAGTGAGGAAGAACTTAAATGTCTAAAAGTCTTCCTGTTAAATCAGTCTTGTTTGTGTATTGTGATTTTTAAAAAGCAATAGAACTCTATTAACCTAGAAAATATAATTTGGAAGGAAACTAAAGCTTTCTCTTTTTGTAGTCTCTTAAAAGAGTGTAGGTTGTTTGTCTATGTTTGTCTTTTTATAATCAAATCAATAATTTTATGACACATCACTGTATGTAAAAGAACAAATTTTTAACCTGTTTAAAAAGAGGTTTCTTAAGAGAAATCATTTCCCTATCCATTAGAAAAAATCTAGAAGAACTGTATTTAAAAGAATATTTTAATTCAAATTTTTATATCAATTTCAAGGTACTGGAAATACACTTTCCATTGATCATTCTGAATTAATGAAACTTTCTCAGTGAGATATTCATATTCCCAGTGAGCAGAGCGATAGGAAAAGTCTGTGGTAACAAATATTTATAAACCAGCTGATTTTTTTAACCAAGAGGCCCTATATCTGTTTTGAATAGATGTGCATCTTGATTACCAAATCACTCTTCTTCACTATCTGTCTTATTAAATACCAATTTTATTTTACTGTTGATCTCTTTAAAGCATTTGTTGTATCCACTTCTCACTAATTAAAAACAGTCTAACTTTATGGACTTAGTTACAAAGAACAATAGAGCAGTGTAAAAATAAAGTTAGTAAAACAGCCATTGCTACTTTGAACATATTTGGTGGTTCCTCTAAAACTCATTATGTTTTTAAAATGTTAAGAATGACCTGAAAAAAGTTAAGACTACCTGAACCACTCTTTCTTTTGTTGACTGCACTTGAATAGAATTGAGATAAACATAGCACTTTCTGAAATAATTAGACTTTTATTGACAGAATTTTTACTTTAGCAGAAAAAAAAAGTTCACACTCTTGTACTTTTAGCATAGAAAACTTTAGTTTTTAAACGAGATTACAGTGGCCCCATGTTTTCCACGGGGATTCAATCCAAGACCCCCAAGTGGATTCCTGAAACCATGGATAATACCAAACTCTCTATATACTATGTTTTCTCCAGTACATATATAGCTTTTCACTTAAAGGAGTCACTTTATGGCCTTTCTTTGTCATATCCAAATTATCAGAATCACTCCTCTTGCATTTGGGGGCCATTATTCAGTAAAATAAGAGTAATTTGAACACTGGCACTGTGATACTACCACAGTTAATCTGATAACCAAGACTGCTACTAAGTGACTAATAAGCAGGTCAGTATTACAGCATGGATACCTTAGACCAAAGATTTTCATCAGGTATGCTGCAAGAATTTGTAAAATATGCAACACCTGACTATTTAGGTAGGGGCACTTACCACTTTTCCCTTAGATTCTCAAGTTTTTGAAAAAATGACGACAGCCAACACAACAATAGCTATCTGGTGTATAATTTTGAATGAATCAAAATTATATCTATTTTTTGTTATCAGCAAAAATATATTTTGTAGTGTACTACAGAATTTTAGTAATTAGTTTATGTGTGCCATGAGATGAAAAAGGTTGAAAAATCTCTATGCCAAAGGGGTCACCACCTAAGGTGGAAACTCCTTTAAGGATAAGTTATTTTATCATATTTTTATCTCATAGCAACAAGAACAATGGGGAATATGTTATTGAGGGAGAATCTTGAAAAGACTAAAATCTGGAATGTATTTAGCCATCAAAAATTTGGGAGTTAATTTTGATGAACACTTGAGGGAAATTATTTGTGTACTTTCTGAGATCTCTATATTTTTTGCCTAAAAGATTGCTTATGGTATGAATGCTAAGATTCTCTTATCTTGGTTTAATTAGATAAATTTAATTTTGATTACTATAGGTAAATCTTAATGAAATCACTTCATATATTACAGAATTTTGCTTAGCAAAATTATTTTTATATGATGGCAAATGGCCTATGGTATTTAGAGCTTTGCTAATTTGGTTTCAACAAATATTAAATAGAGAAGCCAGTAAAACAAATACATCTCACATCATGAAGTCAGTTACTATTTACTGAAATAGTGGTTTAGTACAGTGTTGGATTTTTATCAGTAATTGTGATTTTGTCGGAATCTCTTAAACGGTTTTATCCATTAATTTGGTTCTGTTTTTCCTGAGATCATCTGTGATATAAGAGTTTGTTGACATACAATTCTGTGGTAGAAGAAATGGTTACAATGTCTTACATTTTGGGTGATTTAATATTTTCAAAGCACTTTATGACACTTGTCTTCACAACCCCCATGACATAGGTAGAAATAAATGGGGTATAACTTGTCCAAGGTTATATGGCTAATAAATATCAAATATGAGACTACTGTATAGGCAGGGGCAATCAAGTCTTACCAAGTGATCTCTCCCAATGAGCTTTCCTGGATACTATCAATACATTATTACTTAGTACTTCATTATTTAACTTTCCATATTCTACCACTTCAAGCTTTTTTCACTCTCCAGCAATCTTCTTCCCCCTTCATACTCAGCATATGACTCTCATCTCCTAGTTTATAAAACTAGAAACCAGAGCCATATCACTGAATAAAGATCAGAGAAATGCCTTAAAATGCTGCAGAGAGCATTTAATTTTTCTCAATGAATGATTGAGCTGATAAGTAAGGAAATTCCTCAGAGGCAAGAAACCACAAAAGAAGATGTGAATGCAGAGTGATAAAGTATCACATAGATTTTTGTCTTGGGATTGGGGGTACTTTTTAGTGGCTTCCTGCTAGCCTAAAGCCTGGATTTTAATTTTATGTGTTGGTGTTATGGGGAGGTGACTTTTGAGGCAATATGTTGTAGTGAGTTCTAATCTCATTCCCTCCAGATTAATGCCAGAATCATAGTGTACATCTTTAGTGTATTGGGGGAAAATAAGCAGATCCTCAGAGGTTAATGATAGGATTTGTGCCTATCTCTGTCTTGGCTCTAAGTGAAGAAGATACAAATTAGGGGAAAAAAAGCC